ATTCCGCGCCTGCTACAAGTGACCGTGAAGTGAACGACAGCCAATTCTAAGTTGACGTCTTGTAGGAAAACCTAAATGATGTCAAAAAAACCGACATAATGTCACTTTCAAGTTACGTAATTCCTCTGCCGCCAAAAACCTATACAGTGGACCCCCGATAATCCCGCCCCTGTCTAATCCGGCGCCCCCTGTAATCCGACATGTCTTTGAATATGTATTACATACATACGTATTTGACAATTTTCGCTAATGTAGATCACGCAGGTTTGAACAGGTTACAACTTGTACGCGCAACCGCTATCGTGCTCGACGCGTAAGCATTGTTTTACTTAGTTTGAATTTGACTAAAGTTGATACCTGTACGGCCTAGCGTGCGTTCATTGTTTACTATTTATTCATTGTGTCTTAAATATAGTACCTAGTAATGTCATCACAAACTCAGAAGCGAAAGCACAAAACATTGACAATTAAAGAAAAATGTGATATTTTAGAACGCTTAAATCGCAATGAAACTTAGCAAGTGTTTAGCAAGTGAATACGGCGTAGGCCGATCTACAATTTATGACATTAAAAGAAACCACGAGAAGATCAAGAAGTTCGTGTCAACTAGTGACTGCAGGCCAGGCAAGGGACATACACTCAAGAAAGCTGAACATCCAGAAGTGGAAGAAGCTTTGTACATGTGGTTTCTTCGGGAAAGAAATAGGCATGCACCAATTTCAGGACCCATGTTGGCCATGAAAGCTATGTTTTTTTGTAAGGAAATAACAAAAAAAGATGATTTTGTGGCCAGCAAAGGATGGCTAGAACGTTTTAAAAGTCGTCATGGCATACGTTTAATGACTATTACAGGAGAGAAACTTTCTAACGATGCCACCTGCATAGAGCCCTTTAAATTAAGATTTTTACAGACAAAAAAGTGCATGGATAACAAAAGACCTTTTCAAAAAGTGGTTTGATGAATGCTTCGTACCTGAAGTTAGAAAATGGTTAAAAGATCATAATTTTCCTCAAAAAGCGTTGTTGCTTCTTGATAACGCTCCAGGTCTTCCGTCTGAAGAAGAACTAACAACTGAGGATAAATGCATCACTGCGATGTTTCTTCCGCCAAATTGCACTGCACTGATACAACCAATGGACCAGTATATCATTCAGTTTGTCAAGCAAGGCTATAAGAAAAACCCTACTTCTGAGAGCCGTATCAAAAGACCAACCAATAGAAAAAAAAACATTAAAAGAATTTAATATGAAAGACTTGGTTTTTGCTCTTTGTCAGTCGTGGAATGAGTTACCGTCATCAACTATTAAATCGTCCTGGAAAAAGTTATGGCCAGATATAGTCACCACTCCTAGCAACGTTCCACAAATCAGTGTTACTTCGGAAGTTATAGAACAAGTCGCTACTGAAACAAAGATAAGTCCGGAAGATTTGGAAATCTGGTGCCGTGGAATGGATAAAGAGGAAAATGTTTTTCATGAACGAAGAGATTATAAAAGGGGTTTCTAATTATACAACAAACAATCAGGAAAATAACGACGACGTGATTGCAACTGCTCCACAAGTCACAGCACAAGACGCCATTAACGCCTTTGAGCTAGGTTTACAATGGGCTGAAGAGAATGGGTACATCCTACAATGATCTTTTGAGAAGACTGAGGGACAAAGCTCTGATCTCACGTTATAACAACCTTAAACAAAAAAAAATTGATGAATATTTACAAGCTTCATAATTTGATAAATTCATTAATGATTTTGATTAATAATTCTTGATTATTTTGGTACATATGTATGTGCATTTATGTTTAATTTTATAATAAAACGTAAGCTCTCTATTTTTATTTAATTTACTAAATTCGACATACATAAACTATATATGATTTGTACTTCAAAGTACATACATATACATAACTTATATAATCTTACCATTGGATAAGTAATTTGTCGGATTAAAAATTCCGGACTATAGGGGGTCTTAGGCAGTGCTCTATAATCCGACAAATTCGATAGTCCGACATTGCCCTGCATAATGTTTGTCGGATTACCGGAGGTCAACTGTACTTGAATTTAAAAAGTACTTTGTTCGTTCTACTATGCCATCCTCTACCACTAATGTTGATCAGTTTATATGTAATTATACAATAACTTGACAGGTTTATACTGAAAAAGTGAAGACAAATATTTTGGATTATTTGTTTTGATCATTTAGCAACTCATGTGATGTGACTTTTCATTTTCCGTTAATTAATTTTGCAAGCCGCAAACCAGCGGTATGACAACTCTTAATGGAAATGTTCGTACATTTCCAGATGACTGAGGAGCCGATTGCCGATCGGTATCAGCAATAAACGGAGATGGACTGGCAAAACAATATTAAAAAAATGAGAAAGCGGCTGTAAATATTTAATAACGAGCAAGTTTAAATTAATTCAATTAAACACAGAGCTTCCTCTTATCTCGCTGTGCATTCACAATAGCGTAGTGACTAGAAGCTGTGTTTTTGGAACACATGTGAGTTAATTATGACGATAATAATACAGTACACCAAAACAAATTAATAAGATTGGATGATTTGTGAGAGAAGACAATTATAGGACTGAAGTAAAACGAAACTTTCAACTGAATGTATTATCACCATAAAGTAGTCGTAATACATGAATAGTATAATAGTACATCATCCTAAATTACAAAGTTTTTTTGCTTGAGACCCTTCTGTGCTTGGGCCAACGCTGTAAGAAAATCACAATCAGGATTTAAATAAAATCTCAGCTTAATTTTATTGACTAATGACTGACACCTAGTTTCACGATAGCACATATTTTTTGTTGAGGGTAGATGATTATAAAAATAAGAATTGTTAATTTCCATTTAGTAAAATTTACTCGTTGTGCACCGATAATATGTGCGAACTATATAGGTAATACGATGATTATTAAGATAATAGAATTATTTACTAAATTCATTGTCCCGTTTGGGTCTCATACATAGGTACAAATACATTTAATGAATCTAACAAAGACTAAGATTAAATGAAGCTATCCAGTAAAACATTAGATAAAGCTCCGTTTTTAACCTCCAGTGAAGCCGAATGCAAATTAAATAATGTAATATAGGCAAATGTATAACATCATTATTCAGATCAGAGGCTCTTATATCGAATGTGATTAACAGTTTTTGTGCGTTGTGGCACCACTCAGCTTTTCTTCCAGCATGACTAACGACATAACAAAATTGCAAATTGTCGATATTATTCCAAGTTACCACGCTGAAATTCGGGGTGAAGAAAATGATGCATGACGTAAAAATGACAGTTGAAAATTTGAAGATGTCGTCTGGGCGCCATCTTGGAGCATTTTAAATGGGATATGTGGTCATGTCATAGCTCATTTTAAATCTTCTTATCAGTACCCTACCGCTTGAGTGTGAGTTGAGTGATTTTGTACATAGAATCACGTATAACAGGACAAGCAATGATCAAAGCGCTATCGCCTCTATAGTATGTTATATCTTCTCATTTTGAAACATTCTACATTAGTACACAATAGAGTATGGAACACTCCGTTTGAAAAAATGGACAGATCTTTGCATCTTTTTAAAGAAATGTGCCTTTTTTTGCATTTTCGGGTTTCGATCACCGCTTGTGGAATTAAAAGTGATGCAATGTATAAAAATGCTTAATTCTGACAGCTAGCCAGTCTGCCATTTTGGAAAAAGGCGATTTGATATTATGATGATTAAGAAGACTGAAAATGAAGCCTCACGTGATCTCTTGTTCCATTCCAAAAAATATAGGGTTTTGCAGGGCAAAACTCCATTCTCGCTAGCCGATATTAATGAAACCTAGCACAATCAGGTATAATCTGGGGCACTGAATTTGAATATGTCCGACAAAAACCCCTGTGTCTCGTGAAGATATGGAGGGGGTTTTGAGGATTTTCTCATAGGAAACCTCAACTTATTATACTTACTATAATAGGGCTCTAAAGGATAAAGTCTCCATTTTTGTATTCCTTTGTTACACGTACATAATTTGGGATGACGATTTCGAATATGATCATGAAAAAATCGTGAAATTTGAGTATTTGAGATCTCCGTTAGTATTAGCGTCAAGTTGATATCGGTCTCGGAATCTACATACCCGGTTTTCACACGTAACGAGTTTTTGCTTTTTAGGATAAACATTGTAATTTCGTCATCCATTGTTAGAAGCGCACGGAACTTAGGCAGCTAGGGATTCAGAATTCGAATGTCAAAGAATTGTAGGGTTGCGTTGGTATCGAATTTCAAATATAAAATGAATCTGTATCGATATCTACTAAGTTCAAAACATTCTCGTACAATGCGTAAATGTTGGTTGATATTTCCATCTTACAAGTAACGATGATTGATTTGCTCTTTGTCAAATCGTGAGAAGGAAAAACACTGAGCGCTTAAATTCTTGCCCAATCTGCATAAACAGATGGCGATTCTGAAGGTCACCGAGTTGCATTCATTATGATCTGTTCATTTACTGGGCCATTTTTTCCTGCTCAACACACATAACAGTGTCCAAGTGTCCTTTACCGTGCAGTTAAACTTATCGTGTACATAGTATTTTCGACGTTCTCTATAGTACAGTCACTATAGGTCATTTTTGATCTTCAAATCATGGATATAAGGAAATGTACCTTGTCAGTCACAGGGCTATGAATGTTGGAGTCAAAGATGATCTATCTATACGAGGCCATGTACATTTTTTTTGAATTTTTGAGTAGCTCGCACAAAAATTATTGAAGAGAGTGGAATTGACATTGTTTTCTATTTTCCACTTTTTGTACCTCTCGAAATGGCGGATTTTGAAAATTTATGAAAAAAGTACGTAATATTTTACCATTACAGGGAGAAAAATACTTTCCTTATTTTACGATATCGTGATTAAATTACCTTTCTATAACTGAATTTAGACATGTTTTTTTTTGGGACATGATAAATACGAGCAAAGATCCAGTTTCCATATGGAGGTTAATTCTTTAGCGCAGTAGAGTAGAATGCTTCCTGGTGAATGGTCCTGAATTGTGACAGCTGTTGACATTTGTCAAACAAGTTGACATTTGTGAATGCATGCTTTTTCTGCAAAATAATATTCTCGGCAATTCACAAATTTATCTTCGTCTTCCGGAATAAGGCTGATGGTTGATAGTACGCACTTATTTTCCCCGAACATGACTCGATGATGGTATTGACAATCAGTGCTCAGGAATTCCCCGAAAGGTAAGATAATCACGCATATTTTCTCTCAGTTAATATTCTCCCTCAACTCCATTGAATCTTAGACGATAAAGAGCGAACGCATGTTTTGTTACACAACTTTCATTAAAATGTCAGGGATCGTGTATGGGCCAGAGGCTTTTTTGGCGTCAAGTGACTTTACTAGTGAGGTGACATCCCTCTTAGAGCGGAAGCCTTGATATCTGTGTCATCTGGACGTTGTAAAAAATGCCCTTAATAGATACAATACTGATTTCTATGATGGATTTGAAGTGTTTCAAACGAAGTTTGACTGTTGGATCAACCCACCATCCTCCATACTAGTATTGAAGATTTATTTTAGTCATTTATTTCATTACAGATTTTAATGCTTATCCATATCTATAGTTAAACTGGACCGTATTCTGTTACCTGGGCTATCAGAACCGACAAAATAAAAGTTGGCCTTGCGTGGATAAGGTTAACCAGTCACAGGTGCCAATTTGCACCGGCTGTTGCTGATATGCGTTTGGAACCGGTAGAGTTACATTTCGTTGCCCATTTAGTTCAAGATTTGTATACTCATATATTTTTTTGTTTTTGTACTCATTTCAAGGAACCTGTTTCTTCAGTTTTCAACGTCCCTCATCGACCCCTGAGACTAGAGACATATATTTGTGTATGGCGTGTACAGGATCAGGAAGATGACACTGTGCATCTAACTTATCTATATCAGAATTAATTCTCAGGAAGCGATGTCTAATGTAAAGGATTCCATGTTGAGTCATGGTACTATTACCTACTCGAGAAGATAAACGTGGCGTCACCCGGTGACAAAATTCCCCAGAGACGGGTGGCAAGCGTTCAGTTTTATATGACTCTTCAACACGTAATTTGTGATTAGCTGCATTTAGCTATGGTTTACTGTGCAGTGGTGGTTTGTCCAAGTCACAATAACAAGAAAAGCAAATACGTTATGAATTGGAGTTCAGTTTTTCAAAAACAAACAAATTTGGGAACAATGATTTCTGAAGTGTTATCCGCAACACAAATTTGATAATCTCTTATTAAATGTAGTGAACTCGACCATATTTTTGACATTTTCAGCGCAGGGTTATTGAAGTTGACCAAAAATTATTTCCAATCATTAATGAACTTAGACATGCCAGCTGTGTAAGTGCAGATGCCAAGCAGCTATTTTTAGGTGCAAGATGTATTTTGTTGTTGAATAGAGATATAAAAGAAAAATCCAGAATTCTGAAGACGAAAATGATGAAAATTGTAAAATAAACTCAATGAAGCTGTTTACAATACAGGGTACTTTTACAACTACCAATAAAAAAGATTAAAAAAGCACTTACACATTTATACAAAACTAGCTGACCCGAACGACGGACGTTGACATCCAAGGGCTTCATTTTTAAACTTGAAAGCCTTGCAATGTGGACGATTTGTTGTGAACTGATTGCCACGTCATAACCGAATGCAGCTCGGGTAATTAATAAAATTTTGAATAATCACAATTTTAACATAAGGCATGATTGCGGTGAACTAGCTTCCACCATTGTTAATTATTTTTGAACAAATGATTCTCAAAAAACTCACTGAACAGACTGAAAACTGGAACAGCTCTAATTGAATGGACTGTTCACTACTAATTAAATAAAACAATATTTTTTCATAGATAAACACTGTTAAACGATAATATAAATTTGCGGCGTGCGAGCTTTCAAGTTCAAAATGATAGAGTAGTGGGAGCCAATTAAGCAAAAGAAACGTATTTTTATCCGCCATTTTTATTCATTGAGTTAACTGACAAAGATAAAAAATCCGTAGTAATTGACGGGTTTTCCTCTTCATCCCACAACGTCCACGCGGGTGTTCCCCAGGGATCGGTCTTGGCTCCGACACTGTTTCTCTTACATATCAACGACCTCCTTTCCTGCACGATCAACCCAATCCACAGCTTCTCTGATGACAGCACTCTACATGCAGGAATTCAGAGAGACAAGCCGATCTCTGCCGCTGAGCTGGAAAGAAGAATACTAGCGACGACTTCCTCTCTGACAAGAGACCTGGAGGCTATCACTGCTTGGGGACGCAACAATCTTCTACAGTTCAATGCTTCCAAAACACAGTACTGTACCTTGACGAACAAAAAGCGTCCTAGCGCTCATCCGGTTTCGATGGATGGCCGAGCTCTGCCAAAGAGCCATTCCTTTCGGCTGGTCAGAGTCCAGATCACCGAGGACCTGATCTGGCACGAACACATCTCGTCAATAGCAGCAGCTGCTGGGAAAAAGCTAGGCTACTTGTTTAGGGCTAAGAAATACTTTTCTCCGCATGACCTTCTCACTCTATACAAGGCCCAGATAATGCCTAGCCTCGAATATTGCTCACACGTTTGGGGTGCTGCCGCCCCGACTACATTGTCCATGCTCGATGCTGTCCAGAGGAGGGCGATCCGACTGATCGATTACTCTTCTCTAACAGACAGTCTCGGGACCCTTTCGCACCGGTGGGCCGTCGGCGATCTAGCTGTTTTCTACCGCTACACCAACGGACTTTGCTCCTCAAAGCTCTCTTTCATGATGCCGCCGCGCGATGTGCCTGCCAGACAGACCCGCCTGACTTTGGCGTCCCATCCTAACCGTGTCGAACTTCGTACATCCAGAACTGGCCGATATGACCGCCCCTTTGTCCCGAGGGTGGCGAGATTGTGAAACAATCTACAAGAAGAAGCTTTTCCCAGTTCTATTAACCTTAGGCAATTCAAAAATCGTATTAACAAAATTTCTTTGGGATCATCATAGCAACCGCGGTGTTCCGGCATTTAGGCTTCTGCCTGCGCGGTAGCTTCGATATATATAAAAAAAATTAGGCAACACTGCAGTTTCCTTTGAAAGGGCCATCACATGGTACAGAAATGTAAGCCCAAAAACGGAAGCACAGTGTTTTCATAAAGATGCCGGAGAGTAGTGTCTATCACTTTTAGTACTTCAGATGTTTCCTGTGCTGTGCGTGACCTTAAACGCGCGCAGCTTAAATAATCATTAGGTTTTCAATGATTTCCCAATTTTCTGCGCAATTTTCATGATTTTTATTTCCGTAAGAACATTCTATACAGCATTTGGAAAATTTTAAAGAAAGATGTCGTTCTCAAGTTATGGCGTCATCTATCTTGGTCTCCATTATTTTTCTGTTCTGTTGTATTGTTTCAATCGTATTCCAACAATTTCTTTTCTTTTAAGTCAGTCAGTGACTCATTTTCAGTACTTTGCACTTAAAGCAAATCGACGCCTTTAGCTCTTCAGTTTGCTGACTCTATTATGTTCCACAGATCTGATAGCTATACCATTTAGTAGAATGGAGGTCAAGAGTAACAAACTACTACACACACAATGTAGTACCCCAAATTATCATATATTATCATATATCTATCACTTTTCTTGTGTTGAAATATCAATAACTTCACACATAGTACTTCCATAAAAAGGACAAACATTATCCATTAAGACGTATGCGTTGAATGAATAAGTACTTAGCACTTGTAACTGGCGACATTACAACAATAATAATATAATACTAACGCCGATAATATTGCACTGATACAACAGTAGGGGAATATGGTTTCAAGAACAAGCATTGCTCATTATTTTAACACAGTGAAGCTATAAAAATGCCTGCTAAGCCGGTATTATTCAATAATAATAGTAAGTACTGCATTATCTCATCATCAGATAACCATTCATCATTAAGCGCCTTTCGATCATATTGTTTCTTATTAATATTTCATTCTATTGTCCTAGTTTACACCCATGAACGTTGATTGCTCATAGTTATTTTCATTTGTGAGCTATCCATAGAAAAATACTGCAGAGAAAAATGAGCGAAAAATGAAAATAAATGAATTAAGCAGTGGCAAATTGCATAGATGCAACGCAGCGTTTTTCTCTAAACATGGTTTTTCAAAACCGCACGCAGCATAACCCGAACGAGTATCATTCTTTTGATTCGAATTTCTTACAATACCTTTGAAACATTATTTTGAAAAGAAAGGCTAGGGGATTGTATTAGGTTTGTTCAAGTATCATTTATCAACAAATGACTACATTTTTCCGTCGAAAATTGAAGGATTCAATTCAAATGCTCGCCAACCATACAAAAAACAATATTTTCAAAATATCCTACGTATTGGTTTAGCATAAACACATGACAATTAGTGGCTTCTATTTTCTTTTTCCTAGATCTAAATTTGAAGCAGCTACACTGCGCCACTCTTGAATATTTTGATTTTGTTGTAATTTATTTTGTTACTTGACTGTATGCTGAATAACCTCCTCACTTACAATTTAATTACACTCCCTTTCTTAAAAGTAACATGACAAAAATCACTTTCTTAGGCCGTTGGTCGAGGCAGACTGTAAATGTCACCATGCTTCCGAAATGGAGATTTTGCACTTTTGTATGGATAGGATATAAATGTCTCAAGCTTTTCCAAATAGTATCTCGATTATTTAGAGAAACTCATATGCAGGATCGAGATGCCAGAAAATTGGATATTTCTACAAATGGTGACGATGAATTTGACGCTCAGAGAGATATATTAAACATTATTTTGAGATCATATTGATTTGTTTTTCAAGTCGGCGGTCATATTGTAGTTGTGATTTCTTCCAAAGTGAAATTTGACGGTAATCTAAGGTCAGTTAAAAGTCTTGAAAAATCGGATGCGGCTGACGGACCAAATTCTTAGAAAATGTGACCTTAGTGAAATAAAGCTGCTATGTTGTCTAGAAGGCAAGGATCCCTTCTAAGTTGAGAAGCTTTTAAACAATTTCTTGCACTCAGATCACGTGAAATTAGTCACCCAATAACCTGGACATATCTATTTCACTCTGCTTAATACTGACTTCTCGTGTATTACTTTCTGTGTCAAATTGCTAATCTCATTTTACAATAATGCATTGGGTTATTGATTGATTAACAATAAAAAGTATGATGTGAAAGTAAGTCGAAAGTGC